AAGTTTCCAAAGGATATATAAGCTAGAAAGGATAAAATAGGGCATATAAAATAATAGAAACTAGTATAACTGAGTAAGATACTTTTAATAAAATAATATAGAAAACCATTTAAAGAAACTAATAGAAACTGCATGATACCCGGTACTTTTAAATTTTTATAGGAAAGAGCTCTAACAAAAAAGATTATAAAATATATATATTTCCCAGATTTATATTTATAACAAATTTTCTTCATAATCATGACTTTTTCAGAAAAAGAAAGAGAAACATTATTATGTGTGATTTCCCTCAGTGTAATTGTATTAAAAACGGTTCGGTTTTGTTATTACTTCACTGAAATATTCAGTTCTTGCTGTGGTGCCTGGCATTTGCGATGATTAAATTTTTTAAATACCAGGCTTTGTTTATTCCGCAGGACACTGGTCCTCCAATGGAGGCGTCGTCTCCTTCCCCTGAAACTCAACTCACAACACAATTCAAGACCAATGCCAGGACTGGCCCACATAAATCAGGACACTCGGTGGGGCGGCCCACTCCTGTGCGGGTGTGGGTGGTCTTGAAGGTGGGTCACACTCATTAGCCTGCCACTTGTTGCACGTAGTGGGGTATGTGAAACAAAAGTAACTACAACAATGGGGCACTTAATATCAATAAAACAGTGCGACAGGCCAGAAGATCAAAGTTGTGGTGGAAGATAGACTCCATCTCTAAAGGACGCGATTCACCTTTTGCCGCATCAGCAACCGTGTCAGGATAAAGGACATTTTAGGGGAGAACTCGGTGGCGAAATAAGTGGATTAAGCGGTTGACCAAAAACGACCCATCCACCCACTGGGCCAAATTAAATTACAACGTGAGCCCGAAATTAAGCAATTAGACTGTTTTAGGCGGCAATTAACGGCCACATGTGCTGCGGCATTATCGATTTTGATTCTGACTTTTTCAAAATGCCTAGGATTTGCACAATAATTGGTTATTTGATAGATAGTTTTAATAAACTATGATTTATAATGAATTTATTTATATGGTGGATTAAGAAATATAATTAGAGCCTAAACTTGTAGGCAACAAAATCATTTAAAAACAAGAAAGGAAAGCTAACTTCGGGCGGAGCCGAAGTTTATATACCCTTGCAGCTAAAACCGGATATATATCGCAAACATCGGATATAGTTGGCCGATCCTTATGAAATTTGGTAGGATGGATCAAAATATAATCTGTACCAAGTTCCAGCTTTCTATCTTCAAAAACACAAAAGTTGGGTCATTTCCGATCGTTCAGTTATATGGCAGCTATAGGATATAGTCGGCCGATCCTAATGAAATTTGGTAGGTTGGATCAAATAACCAAAAATAGAGTCTGTACTAAATTCCAGCTTTCTATCTTCAAAAACACGAAAGTTGGGTCATTTCCGATCGTTGAGTTATATGGCAGCTATAGGATATAGTCGGCCGATCCTTATGAAATTTGGCATGTCGTATTATTTTGCCAAAAATAGCTCTCATGTCAAATTTGAACTCTCTAACTCTAAAAACACCAAAGTTATACCATTTCCGATCAATCAGTTATATGGCAGCTATAGGATATAGTCGGCCGATCCCGGCCGTTCCGACTTATATACTGCGTGCAAAGGAAAGAAGGGTGTGTGCAAAGTTTCAAGACGATAGCTTTAAAACTGAGAGACTAGTTTGCGTAGAAACAGACAGACGGACAGACGGACAGACGGACAGACGGACAGACGGACAGACGGACAGACGGACAGACGGACATGCTCATATCAACTCAGGAGGTGATCCTGATCAAGAATATATATACTTTATAGGGTCGGAGATGTCTCCTTCACTGCGTTGCACACTTTTGGACAAAATTATAATACCCTCTGCAAGGGTATAAAAATAAAGTATCGGGTATCATAGTTTGAAGTGTAATTTTCCAACCTCCTCCCCGCGCATCGATTTACAATAATTGCCCATTATTTCAGCCATTAAACGAGCAAATATAGTGAATTACGGTTTTGGCAATAACAGTCCTTTTGGTCCTTTGCGGGCTCCTGTGGTCGCTTTTAGCCTTTTGGCATTTTGGCACCTCAGTTGCGGCTTCCGGCCGATCAATCAGATGGCTGGGAATTACCGTGGCATACGGCAAATTAATTAATTACAAGGCCGCAGCTGAAGAGCCGCTGAAATGGCGGTTAAATAATGTATTTAAGGCTGTGGCGATGGGTGGCGCCAGCAATCCGCCGGTGGGCGGCGGAAGTTGCATTGCAAAACTGGCGAGTGCATCAATCAAATTAGCGAGAGGAGCGTTTCCGGCACATTCGAGCTGCAGCAGCACTGCCAGTCCTGGCATGGACATGGCCAAGGTCAGGCCCTGTCGTCTCCATTGCAATGTAATTAAGACGAGGAGAGGTTCTGCCCTTGTTCCTTGACTCTTAACTCTTAACTCTCTGCATCCGGGACTGGCATCCCGGTTGCAGACTTGACCGCCAATGGGAAAAAACGTGGAAAATTACCTGCTGGCTATCGTCCTGTCCTGCCGTGTCCTGCGTTGTCTGCGCTTCCTGCCGCGTCCTTGGCTCCTGCTGACATTATGTTCATTGGATTTGCCATCCACCCGGCCCACACTCATTCCAATTCACTTTGATTTCCCCGCATTGTCCTTGGGCCTGTCCTTTAATTGCACTACAATTACGAGACCCACCAGGCGGAAGCGGAGGGGTGGTTTCCCCAGTTAGTGGGACAGGACACTGAAAGGACACTTCCCAGCATCATCGATCAAACAATGTCAAAAGTCATCGGGATTACCTGGATTCCCACTTGTTTTTCTTTCTGTTTTTTTTTTATGTCACGAGGGGTCCTTTTATTTGTGTCCTTCCAGGCTTAGGATTCGTTTTTTTTTTATCGCCTTTCGATTTACTCTCCTCTTGATTTAAGGACTTTATTGTGGTTTATTAATTGCGATTCAAGTGCTGCCCTAATCCTTAATCAATATTTGAGTGGATTCATTTATTCAATGGCTTTCAATTAATATTCAATAAACTGATTTCAATAATCGAGTGATTTAATTGAAAGTGAAGAGAGAAAGTGTTATTTAATATTCCATGTTATTTAATATTGTTTATAAATATATATATTTTTTTAAGACCTGGATAGATTCCCTCCATTCTCTCTACTTAATTCATTTCAATTACAAAATCCTTAAAAGACATTCCCTGTTCATCTTGCTGCTGCCACTTGCCACTAGCCACTTGCTACTCAATGTTGCTGCCACCTGGCCGCAAATTAAATTTGCACTTAAATCAAAAAGGCAGCCTGTTGGCTCTGTGGCATGGTGGCAAGGTGGCACAGTCATTATCTTGGCTGGAAAGTTGTCAGAACCATTAGCAGGACTCGGGATAATAAAGAAGGAGTTGAAGGCGCCATCCCAGCCATTGGAGTTGTGTCAGTTATTAACGAAACGTTAAGTTAATAAGTTGCCTGCCAAGGCTCCTGCTCCTCAAAGGACTCTCAAGTCTCAAAGCAAATCACAGAAAATCAGGCAATTAGTGTAGCAGAAACACAGGGGGGGGAGTAGCAATTTTTTTTCTTTCATTTATTTTTTAATTAAATAATTAACAAAGGTAAGAGTTTGTAGAGAAAAATTAAAAGGCTTGAGAAAGGGGATATTAAAGATGTATATTTTATATGTATATTTTTCTTTATAGTTTTGTGAGGAATTTAAGACATAATTTTAGACATTTAGAGGACAAACTCCAGTCGTTAGAAGAATTTTTAGAAACGAGTCTGCCTTCTTAAGCTTTAATAAACAATTAAACTATCAACAAAAAACTATGAAGCTTTATTTTAAATTACTTTCCCTTTTAATTAATCTATTTGTTAAAACAAAAACTCTAAAACTCATTCAACATTTATTGCTTGAAAAAGTAAAGACAGCATTACAATTCCAACCTTTTGTCACCTGACAATTTTATTTTAGTTTTTCTGCCACGTTTGCAACTCTTTTGTGTTGCACTTAGTCCCCTGGCATTTTCCGGATTTTTCCAGGAGTGTCAGAAAGTAACGAAAGTGGCCCGGAAAAATTGGAAAACCCCCGGCAGCAGCCAAAGACAAAGCTAGAAAATCTAGAAAAGCTGGCGGGCAAGAGGAGAATGCAGGGAAAATTGAAAAACCTCGAAACTTAATATCATCGGGGAGGCAGAAAACTTTTCCAAACGTACTCGCAGGATAAACAACGAAATTTAAATGTAATTAAAACTTGCAATATTTGTGGGGGGATGGCAGTGGCAGTGGGAGGATGGAGGTCGGAGGTTATTTACCTAAGAAGTCTATGGAATAGAATCTATTTCCAAAAACAGACTCGTTAATGTTTTGCCAACCGACTGCTGCATCAAAATCTTGAATTGCCAAAATTGTTGGCAAATATTCAAGAAACTTGTAGAGTCTCGTAGGGGAGGCTTTGTTCTTCCAGCCCTTCTGCAAATGAAAAACTTTCCATTTTTGCGAGTATACCAAGTTGTGACATTAAATTTTAATTATGCGTTTAGCTGTGAGGGGAATAAGACCAAAAAAAAATTGCGGTCTTTCAAGTCGACTCATATAGCCACGACTCTCTGGATCAGTACTTGAGACATTGTTGAGAAATAAAAACAAAAATACTTGTGTTCTTGTTTTGTCTGGCCCTTGGGGAATTTTTTTCAAGTATTTGAAAGCCAAAAAACCCCAAAAGTTGCCTTCAAGTGGTCAGGATATTTTACCTTTCTTGTCCTAGTTCTTCAAGGACTTGCAACAGATTTCTTTACACTTTTTTATTTTTTGAGAATTTAATTAAAATTTAATAAATATTTCTAAGCAGAAATGCGACAAATGTAGCTTTTAGCTTGCCTCTAATTGGCATTGCACTGTTTTTGGTGGCAAGCCTCCGGTTGGAATCCTGATTTTCGGTTAACCCATCCCCTAGAGCAGGTCCAGCCACTCATAACTCATCGGCAACTGCATTCGTCATGAACGCCACGTCCACCTCCACGTCCTTTATTCCGCACTGTTGGGCCAAGAATTTTAATTGCATATTTCTGGGGTCCGCATTTAGTTGCCTAACCAGTGACAACGGCTTTGCCAGTGGACAGGACACGCAGCTAAAGCTCTTGCTGGAGCTGCGGTAGGAGCTGGAGTGTCCTGGCGATAGTGGTTCTAGCAGAGGTCCTGTTCCTGATTGCAGCACCTTGCTAATTGCCCACCTGTGTGTGAGTTGCCTGTCAGCGACAGGAGCAGCAGCTTTGGGTTTTTACACTTAACGAAAAATAGGAGTAGGTTGTCCTATATATATATTTACTTCTTTAATCATACCCGGTACTTGAAAGCATCTTCCAAATAAATAAAAATACAAATTTAATTAAAATACTCTACAAATTTAAAGACATATAAGAAATATACCTTTTAAAGCAATAAATCTTGTAATCCCAGTAACTAAAAGCCCTCAAATTTCTCTCAGTGTTGTGGAAGGCCCTAAGGGATAGCACAATCCTGGCCTTTGGAGTTAGAGCCACAAAAAAGTTGCCAAACCGCAGTTTCTGTTCCCTCGGTGTGAATTGCGGTGGTTGTCAAATGGGCGGCAGGGATAGACTCTAAAAAAAAGAGGAGAGGGCGTGGCTGGGGCGCGGCTAGGACTCAGTCACCCACTCAGTGACAATTTCCATAGCATTGTGCGGACAGGACGTGTCCCATCCTGGTGCGCTTTGTTCATCTGGCCGTGACAGAAATCAATGAATGTCCCCGGCAAGTGTATGTAAAATTTTGTGGAGAACATAACCCGGAGCCGGACACGGACCAGAACCAGGACACGGACCAGGACCCAGAGTCGAGTACGTATCCTGATTCAAAACAGCCTCTGGAAATTGTCAGTGAGTTCGCGTTGGCAGCGATAATTTGCCAAATTGACTGCATTCTAATTTCTAATTTCTGCCGCAAACCCGAACAAGGACCTCCTCCTCCTCCGACCGGGAAAGGCCCTGTGGCAAGAAATCCTTGAAGCGTTTAATTCGGGAGCTGCTGCTCCGGAGTGTCTGGACTTTGGAGCGTGTGAAGAGCAGCATGTTGTGGTCGTCCTGGGGTCTTAATTGAATCCTTGATTAATGAGCCTTGAACGATACATTTGACCAATGGTCGTCCACAATGTGGAATTAAAGCATAAATGCCAAATGATTTGATAGTTTCTAGTCTAGTGTTTGTAGTGGGGATTTAAAAGGATACGGAGAACTGAGAAGGAATGGTTAAAGGTTAAGGGTCCTCATTAGGGCTTTAATTTTACACCTTGAAATAAGTTATATTGAATATTTAAACTAAATAATTTTTCTAGCAAAGCTCTTTGTTTTGGAAAACCTCTTTAGAATAACTAGTTTTAAAATAATAATTATTTTTGTTAAGGATTGTAGTTAATAGTTTTTTAAGAGCACTTTCATCGTAGTTGATCCATCGCAGCAGTAACATGATTCATTCCGAAATCATACATATATTCACAAACAACACAATTATGAACATTTTTCAGAAACAAAACTTTCATAAATCTTTCATTTCAGAAAATATTTAAAATTATAAATGAAATCAAAATTCAAAAACTTAAATGAAAAGCAGAAAACTTAAAAGATATATATGTAAACAATTGGCTAAGAATTGGATATTTATGCATTATTAATTTACAAACTATAGTTAAGTTATGGCTAATAAATTTTATTAAAAACTTACTTTACTTTTCATCTCTCTATTTATATTTATTTCTCTAAATTTTCTCTAAAAATCTATACTCTTAAGCATTTTTGATTAATGATGTGGCTTCTCTATAGATCCACCCACCGGGATGAGTTTGGAACTCAGCGCGTCTATAAGAAAACATCGCCCAATTGCGTGCTGACCTTGTATCTGCCCACGCGGGAGATAACCCTCACCGGCAACAATCCGTCCGTGCTGCGGGGCATCGTCTACGTGGACCCCAAGGCCATCCAGGGATATCGCGTATACGCCCAGCTGACGCTTACATTTCGGTAAGTCGGACATTTCATCATTTTATGCTTCACTCCTCTCAATCCCCTACTCTGGCCATCCACCGGACGGATCAACATTAATTTCAAGATTGAAATTGCAATTTTCATTCAACCGAGAAAGGACAACAATTGTCTGACGGATTTTCTATAAAGGAGAATTCCATTCGCAAGATACCCTGTATTCTAGAAATTTTTCTGAATAGAATAAGTACTATAATAGTACCACAAAGTACCGGGTATCCCACATTCCTACCCTAGTTCTAATAAATCTCTAATAAGTCCTAATCTTAAGACTATTCTTACCTTGTACCAGGTATCTCACAGCTCTCTCTCTCTCTTTGGTTCTTCTCTTTCCTTTCAGCTATGGTCGCGAGGACGAGGAAGTGATGGGTCTGCGATTCTGCAACGAAGCCATCATGTCGCTGCATCAGATTTGGCCACGCCTCGAGGAGCCATCGCCGGAGTCCCTCAGCCCCTTGCAGGTAATCACGCTTATTGGAATTATGCATGCCGGAATCCGTTGGCAGCATCTGGTGTTTCTGATTCTGATCCTGCTCTCGTTCCTGCTCCTGCCACCGGGTCCGGTTGTCTTGACGAGTCCTTGACCGACCGACACTCTCAGCCATTCGACTGTCCAACTTGGCCAGAGTGTGGCATTAACAATTGATGACGAAGCTGCCCCATGTTGTTTCCTGCCTCTGTCCATTAGCCGCCTCTCCTGGCTCCACTCCCCCACACCCATCTCGTGGGAGAAGACGCCTCGCTGCACAGGACCATAAATAATTGGGCAATTTGCAGAGCTTTGCAACGCCATCATTTGGCACCTCGGCTTTGCCGGACCGATGCAGCGGATGAAATTTCAGTGGCGCGGCACGGGGGCAGTTGCAAGGAAGTGGTAGTGGAAGTGGGGGTGGTTTTGAGGAAACTAAAGGCACCATAAGCTTCCCCCACTTTTAGGGCATGCTCGTCCTTAACTTTATTATTGTTGGTGCTTGCCGTAAGATGAGAACAAGGCGATCCATGTTGCACAAAAATCCAGACAAATGACAGGTATTGTTATGGTTGAGAACTCCATTTTTAAGGATATCGGAAGGCAGACACTTGACGAAAGTTGTTCGAGTTTCGTATTACAAGGTTCGAGACGCGATGGTAATGTACTTACTCCGTTTGAGAATCGGATCAGGATTGGGGAAGATATAGCCATCACTGTGGGCCCTATAGGGGAAAACCCCATTTTCAAGGGATCCCATCATGAAAAATGGACAAAAAATCTAAAAAATATTTTGTCTCAGGATTTTGATGCAGAATGGTGCGAAATCGATGTAGAAATCGTTTAAAACACTCCGCTTGAGAATCGGATACGAGTTGGGGAAGATATTGCCATCACTGTGGGCCCTATAGGGGAAAACCCCATTTGAAGGGATCCTATCACGAAAAATGGACAAAAAATCTAAAAAATATTTTGTCTCAGGATTTTGATGCAGAATGGTGCGAAATCGATGTAGAAATCGTTTAAGGTACTCCGCTTGAAAATCGGATACGAGTTGGGGAAGATATTGCCATCACTGTGGGCCCTATAGGGGAAAACCCCATTTGAAGGGATCCTATCACGAAAAATGGACAAAAAATCTAAAAAATATTTTGTCTCAGGATTTTGATGCAGAATGGTGCGAAATCGATGTAGAAATCGTTTAAAACACTCCGCTTGAGAATCGGATACGAGTTGGGGAAGATATTGCCATCACTGTGGGCCCTATAGGGGAAAACCCCATTTGAAGGGATCCTATCACGAAAAATGGACAAAAAATCTAAAAAATATTTTGTCTCAGGATTTTGATGCAGAATGGTGCGAAATCGATGTAGAAATCGTTTAAGGTACTCCGCTTGAAAATCGGATAAGAACTGGGGAAGATATAGCCATCACTGTGGGCCCTATAGGGGAAAACCCCATTTGAAGGGATCCCATCATGAAAAATGGACAAAAAATCTAAAAAATATTTTGTCTCAGGATTTTGATGCAGAATGGTGCGAAATCGATCCAGAAATTGTTTAAAACACTCCGTTTGAGAATCGGGTAAGAATTGGGGAAGATATAACTTCGGATCCCATCACGAAGTTACCGTGATGGTGGCACTTCAGACTTGAGCTGGTCATTTGTCTTGCCTTTAGTCTGGAACTTTTATGAGCAACACGCTGAAAGCTGTCCGTCCGTTGGTCCATCCGTCTGGTTCATGGCCGAGGTGGCCGAATATCGGCCGTTGTTCTGCCGACCGTTTGGTTCGATGCACTTAAACCAATTGAAAATCAATTTCATTTATCTAAAAGCCAAACAAATGTTTGCCAATGCCTCTTTCAATTCTTTACGCCCTGTTTGTTTGTGCTCCGTGTCTTGTATTCTCCTCCTTTTTTTTTTGGAGGCCTGACCGAAAACTTTCAAATTCAACTTTTCGATTTTTTTTTTATTAAATTTGACATGGAATAATTTATTTCTTTGCCATGGCCAAGGGTCCAGGGGATGAGCGGAAACGGTTTTCTCGCTCCACTTCTGCATAATAGACTCGAACAGGCAACCGTATCCGTTTTTTTGGGGATACTCTCGTACACACACAGTCCCACACTCACAGACACTCACATACCCAAGGGCTCACGCATAATTAAATAAATTTGATTTTAATAACTTTCCGAAGGACAAGAGCTGCCGAAGATGAGGGGCGGGAAAGCTGGACCAGAAATAGGTCTTTGCAAACAGAGATGATGAAGAAGAAAAGAGATTCGATAAAGAGTGGGATAAAAAATGCACTCGAAGAAAAGGTTTTCATCAATGTTTTGTCTCGAAGGATCAAAATAATTCAAGGTTGGATCGAAAGACCAAAAAGCAAACAGTTTTCTCAAGAAACTACTTTATTAATTAGGTTTTCAGATTATTTATTAAGTTTTCTTAACTTCTTGGAACTCAAAACCTTTTCTCCAAGTACTTAACCAAGAACGGGAAGACTAAACTTGTTGCGGGACACCGAACATTGATGGATTGAGTGGGACAAGCCAAGATATTCACAAAAACGATTGATTATAATTTGATGAAAGTAAATCGAATGCCAGGGAACCATGGAAGGATAAAGGGATGGCAGGACACTACGACACTAAGGATACTAAGGATACTAGGATACTAGGCTACTAAGGTGAAAATCTGAAACGAGAATCAGATATGCCTGAGTGACATTGAGTTGAATAGTTCACAAAAACCCATATCTGTTTACCCAGAGTCCAGAATTTAAAGAGCGAGAATTGATGAAATTTCCGACATTCCGGCTGATAATTTACGGCAAACATTTTTGAATCTTGACCAGCCGGGGTCGGTTGTCCGTGGCAACCTTAGAATGCCACGTGCAGGCGATTATACTGTGGCAAGTTCACACAAACAGGCTGTATTTTTGCACATGTATGCGAGTACATTGTGGCATTAGGGTGAACTCAAATAAGAGTAAATAAATACGATTTTTTTTAAAGAAATATTTATGATACTATAAAGAATTATATTAAGGATAGCTCTCCTTAAGTTTTATAAGGCTTGTTTTAAATTATATATTTTTTTTTTTACATTTTTAAGAGCCATCCTTCTAATGAATAATCATCTCGGCCATATGCAAGTAATTAAATGAAAATAAAATGATTGGAAAATAGAAAACGATTTTGCTTAGCTGATGATTTTATTTCGCACGTTCCTTGCCAAGCACCAAGCTGCATAATTAAAATGATAAATAAATAAACACATCCGGTGTTACAATTTGGAGTTGTACTAGTGGCTGTCTTGTAACCGAACCAATTATGTTGATTTCGTCCATTTTCCATTTCGTGTTTTGACTCGCGAACCGAAAATCAATCAAAATGCTAAACCAGGATCCTTTTCACCACCTCTCTCTCTCTATACCTCTTTCTCTATCTCTGCAGGAGGCTTTGATGAAACGTTTGGGAGATGGAGCCCATCCCTTCACCCTTACCTTGTCGGCCCATGCCCCGCCCAGCGTCCAACTGGTTCCGGCTAAGCGGTACTACGGCGCCCCCATTGGCACCAGCTACGATGTCCGCTGCTTCATTGGTAAGTCGGGGGGGGCATCCATCGGAGGGCGGGGAGACAGGGTTGTCCTGGGGGCAGTCCGGGGGTCCTGGCTGTGGGGTTCGTGTCAAATGAACATTTTCGGGTCCTAGTCAACGGATATCAGACTACTGGGCCAACAAGCCGATTCGATTCAAGGACAGGATGTCAAAGGAAATGTATTTATTTTTGTCATTATTCAGAATCAGAGGGCAGTACTGGGAGAAATATTGAAAAGGATAAAGGATAATATAATAGAGTAATAAAATATAATAGAATTAAAAGTTCAGGGAGTATAGGAACAATGGGGAGTAGGAGGAGTATAGTACAGGAAGTTGGGAGGTTTTTGTATTTAACTGGCTTTTATTTATTAATTTGTAAATAGTTTTTCTTATTTATATAAATTGGTATAAATTGCATAAAATAATAACCTTTAATTTTGTATTTTTAAATTATAAAATCATGACATTTTTATTTAAAATACCAAGCAAGCAAACTAGTCTTTGTCTAGCCCCAAATTACCCGTAAAAACTAAATGAAATTCCCAAAATAGTTGAAATTAGTTTCGTTTTGCAAATGAACAGTTGGGATTTTTTTGGCGGGAAAATTATCCTTGGACTGGGTCACGGACAGGACGTCTGGGGGGACGAGCGATGGTTATGCGCTCGAAAACCACACTCACCTGCATCGCTGGCATTCCACTCAACCACCCACCACCGAACCAGCCACCACCCACTCCAACCCTGTAACCCCTGACCCCTCTGTACTACACCTGCCAAAATGTACCAATCAACTCCATTCATGCGCCACCAAAAATTAAGTTATCGCCGCACCGAGACCAACAAAAAAAAATAAATACAATTTTGAAAAGAAACCAAACCAGAGTCCTGTATAGCCCTTAAACCCCGTACACCTTACCCCAATTATACGTGTATAAATATCTATCTATCCGCTAGCTGACACGCCCACCACCCACCGCTCCGCCCACTGGCTGACGTCAGAGCAGCAGGGGGTGGCAAGGAAATGTTGCAGGAAAATTTTTTTGTGATTGATTTTCATGGAATTTTCAGTTTGTTTTTATCATTTCTTTTGGTTTTTTCGGTTTTGGGTTTTTGTTTTTTCGATTCTGGTTATCCAGTTGGAGGATATCCAGCAAGTGGACAACCAAAAATTAATAAAAAGTAAAATCAATATTAAATGCTTGCCAGCAGGACTCAGGATTCAGATTCAGATACCGACTGAGGATTTCAGATAGCGAGTCTGTTGATATTATTTTTGTCGCTTCATAGGCCCCCCTGCAGGCTATATGGGCATGTGTACGAAGAGGCTCTCTTATTTTTTTTTTCTTGGTGTTTTTTCGGAACTGGGCATGGAAATGTGTATATCCTGTGCCGGTTCAGCGGTGCGCAATATCCTGTTTAATGAAACGTCGCACGGACTTCGTCCATAGCCTCCAGACAAGACGTCGCAACACTTGGCATAAAAATTTATGAAGAAATCTGATGGAAACCTATTTAGAATTACTTAATTTTATGGTGTTTAATGTTTAATAAATTAATTAAAATTTTAGAGAGCTAATTTTATTGCTGGGATAATACTAAAAGTTTACAAAACTATTCAAAATAATGGCCCATAAAATTTATCAGATGACCTTTGTAAATAGATAAATAAATTAGACACGTTTAGCCATAAAAACAAAAAGCTTTTACTACAATTTTTAATTAATTACTTAGTCGACACTTTGAACTATTTAGTTTTGAAATGAAACCAAGCAAGGGTCTTCCTTTTTTAAGAGGAAATATTACAACATTTTAAAGTTTATTACTTGTATTATTAATTAAATGTATAATTATTTTTCAATACTTGTAAGTATTGTTATATTTTCTAGATCATATTAGATCTTTTGAATAATTTTTCTTAAATACCCTGATTTTATTCCCAGTGCTAGTTGGTTCCACTCTATTCCAGCTGCCCAGCCTTCTGAAGTCCTGGCCATGTCGCTCTTGTCTCCGGGCTTTTGTCCAATTGCGGAATCCAGCCGGCGAAGAGCTCCTTTGCGGTTGCCAAAGGCAACTCGCAGCCAGGACATTCCAGGTGGAGGTCTCTGAATGAAGATAGGACGGGCAGAGAAGGTCACTGAGGTGGATGAGAGGGTGGTGGTGGTGGTGGAGCAGTTGAAAGGTGGCGACCAACTACGATTGCAGATGCAGATTCCTGTCCACATAATTACACATTATTAGCCAGCGGCTTGGCCAGCATTCCGTATTCCGTAGTCCATAGTCGGTATTCTGTTTTCCATAGTCCGTACTCTCTGTACTGCCAGCAGGACAAAAGATGAAGGACACGAAATGACACAAGGACATACACAAGGCTACTTTGCAATGCGTTTCAAAACTAAAGAACCAGGATAACACATAAACTTCATATGAACTGGATGTTGTACCATTTATGTAATTAGGATTTGTTGTTTATCCATTTTCAATTATCCTTTTTCCTGTTAAGGATTTTTGCAATAAATTGCCATTTTACTGAAAATCTTACATTTCATTTTTGTTCATTTATTTTGTTTTGCAAACCAAAGCAATTTTGAGCCACGAGCTTCCGGAATTCCATAAAAAGAATCTCCTCTCGCAGGACAAAAGGAAAGCCTTTTAATTTTTCGAAATTTCTTTGCTTCGAAGAGCTTTATTTTTTAAATGCAATTAAATGGTATTACGTTAAGTGGTTTAGGAGGGAATTTAAAGCCAAGCAATTAGGAAAATAAATGAATAAATACAACAAGGCACGTGGAAAAGGATTTAAGGACAATACAATGTAGAACAGGACGAAGACTTAAATAGCATATTTGCAGGTTTACTTTAAAAGGAAAATCATGGTAAATTTTATATTATATCTTGAAACAACTTTAATTTTGAAACGCTTTGTAAAGAATGTATAAATAGTATTTAAAATAAGAAATAAGAATAAGATATAGAAAGGAGTTAAAGATTCATGATCAGCACATCCTTCGCTCATCCCCAACAAAAATCGTTCGTTCGTATCGCCCCCGTATCCTGTTTCCCGCACAGAGTCCCTTAGCGACGAGGCGTCCATTTGAGCAGAAGCCCGCCGGAATAAGCGCCCCAATCCGCTCGCCAGGTGGGTCTTCCGGCTCCTCTGCCACGGCTGCTGTGCCTGTATGTGCACGGCCTCCGACCCAGGTAAGCAGGCGGAATCGGCGGCCCGGATCTGGAACAATATGATCCTTTATTTGGATATTGTGTGGATATTTTAATTAATCTCTCTACAAGGGATCTCTGTGTGTATGTGTGTGAAAATCTCTCTCTCTCTATAACTCTCTCTCTCTCTCTGAGTGTGTGTGTGTGACTCTCTGAGTGTGTGATCTCTCTGATCTGTGATCTGATTCGTTGTGTCGCCAAGCTACATATTTCTATGTCGGTGTCGTGTTCCATTTCCATTTCCGTTCCATTCCGTTTAGTTTACAGTTTTAATTGTTGTTGTGGCTTGCTCTTCGTCCCTTTCACTTCCTTTTTACACAATTTCTCTCCTTTTAAATCTAAGTCTCTCTCTCTGTTTGGATGTGCACTCTTTTTTTTCGTTTTTCTTGTGCTTTAGTTCCCCCCGATCAGTATTTTCAGTTTATTCCAACATTGCCAACAATGCTCCTCAACACTTCTTTTTTAAAGTTTTTACAAGATTTGTAAGGTTAGGTTTTCATTTTCTTTTTAGAAATTAAATCAAATCAATTTAAAAGAAATAACTTTAAAGAGAGTGACATTTTCCAGAACTTTTCTCCCTTGTTCCGTTTTTAAATAAATCCCCAAGCCATATAAGTTTGAGAAGTAATTTAAATTGTAAAAAAAAGGAACTTTAACTTATAATATTATTTAGGATCCTGATAAATGTTTATCATTTTCGATGTCTTTTGGTAGCTGATCTGTTAGTAACTTGCATCTAAAATTAAATCCATCCATCCATCTTTCCCTATTCATTAATGTGTCTTTCATATTTCATGTTTTTCATATATTTTCATATCCATGTTTCATGTTTCATGTTTTTTATTATAACCCGTTCAAGTAGCCGCCTGCCTGCCTGAGGCCACAAAAATATCAAAATTTTCAATCATAATCATTTGGCATTCGGACTATCAAACGGACTTCAGACTTGATTCACAAAATTAACAAGAACAGGATATTAAAAAAAATACAAAAAATTACAATTCTAAAAATTGAAAAAAGAAATATATAAGAAAAACAAACCAAAACTAGCGTCGGCGGCGGCAACAGGAAGGGAAAACAATATATCTCTCATAAAACTTTGAAAAAAACTAATCCTTAATTGATATTTTCTTCCTCCTCCCTTTTCTGTTAAATTTTTTTATGAATTTTTTTAGCCGACAAGACGGATGAGAAATTCCATCGTCGGGCCTCCGTTAAAATGGGCGTCAGAGTCATCTATCGGACGGACGTATTCCATCACCAGCACGCCGCTCCCGCCGAGCACTTTGCCGCCTTTGCCGGCGGCCAGCACAGCGCCCAGTCGCCACCGGCCAGTGCCACGCCCCCGCCAGCCGGTGAGGGTGGGGAGCAACAACAGCAACAACAGGCCACAGGAGCCAAGCACAAGAACAAGTCCGAGCGGGGAGACTCCTTCCCCAAGTTGCGGCTCTCGCCCAAGTCCTTCCGCTTCAGCGGTCGGTTTGGACGTAGCAAGAGCGAGATCGAGAAGTGTCCCAACGATCCCTTCCACAGCTACAGCAAGTCCTTCCAGGAGGTGAGTTCAGCTAGGCCTGAAAGTCCTTAAATCTAATCATAAAATGTGACTTACCCGTTGCAGCATTGTGACAGCATGTTGCCGCCTCACAGTGGCGCTGGGGTAACCGGTGGCATCGGGGGCGTCAGCGTGGGACCCTGCGGTGGACCTCAGGGCGCCGTCGACAAGCCGTTCCTGCTGCACGACGGCCGGGTGGCGCTGCGGGCCAGCCTGGACAAGGGCTGGTACACCCACGGCGAGGACGTGAATGTGACGATCAACATTCGCAACGACAGCCGCAAGACGGTGCGAAAAGTTCGGGTGAGTAATCCTTCAGCTCCTTTCGGGTCCTCCACTCTCTCTATCTCCTACGTCCACTGTGGTCCCTGGCAACCACTTATCACCTTCTGCGTGGCACGCACCAGGTACCACTTGCCTCTCGCCACATGCCACTTGGCTTAACATTTTCCACTTTCTACTTGCCACCTTGGAGTGCTGCAGCACCTGGCCAATGAATATAACTGCGTATGCAGTGTGGCAGGATGGCACTGCAGCACTGTGGCATTGTCGTTGAGGTGCAGCAAAGCAAACTGTTGCTCTAACCAAGAATAATAGATGCATGGAAATGGGTAGCTGTCATGGAAGTGGGGCAGGGATATTAAAGGGGGTAGTATATATACTACATTTTTTGGAACTTGTTTATTAATTTTATATAACAAGCTACTAATGCTTTTCCTAATAACCTCATATAACTTAAACCTTACTCCCCCAGCTTTCAAGTCCTGTGATATAAGAAGCCCAATTAACGAGAACAACGGACCCTATTATTCAAATCTATTTTTGATTAAATCCCATGCACAAAATTTGCTGAAAGAAACCTATTTGTAAAATTAATAGAATTTATCAAAGGGTCCCAGTAGAATGCAAAAACACCTGCACTCCTCCCCCAGCCTGGTTGCATAAACTGAACTATGTATGTATAGGATGTGGCACTGTCGATAACAGGCTCTGGACGCCACACATAAGCTGCAGTGGCCATTGTCTGTGCCAGAGCCCTTGGGTCAGCCAAGTTATGACAGTTAATCAAAACTCCCCAAAGGACTACTCGTCCTGCAATCGAATCGTGGCTCTTCGAGCTTCAAGCTGAATTACTGCTCCCAGGATGCCTTTTGAGAAATGAGTTTTGCTGCAAAAAGGGATAACGATGAGGATTTGCAACTGTGGGGTGGGGAGGGGGTATGGGCATAAGACTCTATATTTAGAATCCTTAACCACCACTATCTATGCCTTTGTCTCAATTGTAATGGAAAATACCTGTTAAGTCAATTACCATGCTGATTTCAGAATTATTGCTGCCTGATTTAATCAGATTAAGTTGGGAATTCATTTCAAAGGCATTCTGTAATCGGAACAGTCCAGAAGGACTGCACCTGGCCGAGCGATTAAATATCCGGAATACAGAGTCCTGATCCAGGATGTACTCGGCCAATTAAGGGACTTAGGGTTTGGTTGGGATTTTGGCCATTGTTGGGCTTTGTATTGTGAATGGTTTTCAGTGAAAAGACAATGACTAAGTTTTCCTTTCCTTTTGCTAAAATTACCACCAACTTTGAAAAATAAACAAAACTTCCTAAATTTATTTGCAAGATTTTGTTATTAATTTAACCTCTTGATAAAAAATTAATAGAATGCATAAGCAGAGAGCAAATTTGTTCAAAGCCTTTGAGCCAAGATAATGCAAAAATTGCGTATACGCCAGGTGTCTCCCTCGAATGTTCGAGATGACAGATAGATGGGCTGGCAGAAAGTCAGACAGCGGCAAATCGAAGGGATTCCTTTGTGGGTGGTGGTGTTAAGGGGGGAGATTGGTGTGTGAACAGTTGATTCCGTAAGCACTCCGGCATACACACACTCCGGTATACACTCCGGCCGTAGAGTCACACACAAACACACATCCTTATGCAAATGGCGCTTAGCTGAATGAAATTGTAAGGCCGAGGAAGCTTCTAATGCAATCTCCTGAGTCCTGAGTCCGGGCCAAGGTCGACAACAACAACAGAAAAAAATAAAGAACGATAAGGGGAAGGACAAAGGTAAAGGATATATGTAGGAAAGGACATGAGAGGGCAAAGAAGGCAAGAAGAAAAGTGAAAGGCTGGCAAAAGACGCAGTTGAAGTGAAAATTGTGTTTATACATTTTATGGGCTTTTTCTCCTCCTCTCTCTCTCTCACACTCCTCGGGCTTTTTATGTGCCCCGAAGGTTTGTCTATGTGTGTGGCACACACACACATACCTTCACACACACCTAAACACCTTCTTCACACCCTTTTTTTAGCCATTCCTCCTCCTTACTCTCAATATCCGCATTTAACCGGGAAATGGAACGCACAAAAGTATGCTATACTTTAACATTGTTCGGAGTTTTTTTTTGGCCAAATCCAAAATAAAGTTACCCGACTAGTCCCCCGTCCCTGGCCACTTCCCTGGGCTATTCCGTTTTTGCAAATCTGCACTTGCCTGAAATTCCAACGACATACGCAACGTCAACCTGCTTTTCCCTTTCATTTCCTCCGATTGCAGAGGCTTATTGCTTAGGCACTGAGAAAAACAGGGAGTTAGAAAAAAAAGTATACTATTATTTCAAAAAATAATGATTTTTTATAAAAGTCTAATTAATTTCCTAGCTTAGTATTTCCTTTAGATTTCTTATAAAACTTTTCAAAAAATATTTAATATTTTTCTAAGTGAAAACTTGTCCCAAAAGCGTTGACCAAATTGGCTTGCAAGGAAAAAGGACAGAAGGGCAGAGGCAGGAGGGGCAGTAGTAGGCCAGCAGGGCAGAAGGCAGCAGGACAGGAGGGCCATTTAATTACGCACCGGATATTACGCATACGAGATGTGGTACAAAGCCGTGTGTCGTTCATTTCCATTTCTAAGAAAAATGTAACCACTAGAGGGGCCAATGCAGAATGCAAAATGCATAATGCCAGAACACAACTCAACTCTGACAGGACACAAAACATATCGAAAAGGACTTAGGGAGTGGGGAGGTAAAGGACGAAAGACTGCAGGACTGACTGGGGGCCAGTGGAAAATGTTTTATGGTGCCGCCTGTCAAGTGTTATTGTTTATTTTTATTGTAACCGCAATATTTTCACAGCGCATTGTTCATTGATGAATGGATCGAGATAGACACACCAACACACCTACACAAACACACACACACAAACACATATTAAGCACACACATGGGAACATGAAAAGTATCTCCAAGATACTTGTAGAGTCAGCGACAGATACAAGTTATGACACTTGCACATGGAATTGACTTGTCTAGCAACGTAAATAACGATCCGCAAACTATCGGAATGGCGGGATGGTGACTTTGGGACAAACAGGACAACAGTTGGCAAGGACAAGTGCACACCAGTGTCCTTGTCTAGTTTTGCAAAACACTGCAAATAGTAAATAATTGCTGGGGGGGATAGGGGGTTGGGTAGTTTTTCAAGAAGAATTATTGAAAGTTGTGATTTATTCAATGAACGGGGAAAGAAAGTACTTTCTCAGACGTCAAGTTGATATACACTTGAAGTTAAGATCCTTAGAAGTTAATATCAGATGGGTTATATACCGCAAATATCGGATATAGTTGGTCATGGGAGTTGTTTCCAGGCTTCTATCTTCAAAAACACCAAAGTTATGGAATATACGATTAATTAGTTACAAGGCAGCTAAAAGTTATAATTGAAAAAAATGACAAAAAAAAATATTACAAGAAAAAAATTACAACAAAAAAAAATTACAACAAAAAAAATTACAACAAAAAAAAATTACAACAAAAAAAATTACAACAAAAAAATTACAACAAAAAAAAAATTACAACAAAAAAATTACAACAACAAAAAAATTACAACAACAAAGAATTACAACAACACGAAATCACAACAACACTTAAACACAACAACATGAAATCACAACAACACTTGATCACAACAACTTAAACTTAGCACAACAACAGCACACAAGAAAAAAAGAAACTATTTTTCCGATTTTTCGGGCCTGCTTAAGTGCTACCTATGAGAATCGAGGAGGAGGGCGCTGTTTTTTTAAAATAAATAATAAATAATTTTTATTAAATAATCAATTATTTTGTAATTTTTGTACCAAATTAAAGAATCTTCAGGAATGTTATCATATGCAAAAAAACGGTAAATTTTTACGCTTCGGTACCATTGGACTTCTAGGCGCCCTTAACAGTAGGAAATGCATATATGAGTGTGGACATTTTCAGATTTATAATTTAAAAAAAAACATGTTTTTCTTCAGAAATTATAGAAGAATTCAGTTTGCTAATGATATATAAAGAAGTAAGGATATAGTCCTAAGGACATAGTCCTTAATTTTCATATATAAATGGAAAATATCGGATATAGACGATCGATTCTTTTAGGAATTTAAATATCAGAATTGAAATATGTTCATTGAATCTTAAAGGTCCTGGAAAGGTATGGATATTCAGCTTAAGCATAAGAACTATACAAAAAACCCCAAAGCTTAAAACTCAAAGGTCAAGTCCCCCTTTTTACTCCCCTTTTTGGACTTTCAATTCAAAATACATACCTATATTTCTCAATAACTTGAAATTGTTTTTAAAGCGTATAATGCTCTTTGCGAGTTCATTTGTTATTTTTGTCTCGAAAGGACTTCCGAGTCCTTGGCCATTTGTTACAAGCTGCTCCCCATCTTTTATGCAATCGCATAATTCGATTTGATTTTATGGCCTTGTGTCCTGGCACCTTCAGTCCTTTTCTCAAAATTTCTAAATGTCTATACCATGCTGGGATGGTTCTCCATCCGTCCTCGGTCCTCACTCGTCCGTCCTCCGTTGTCCTTTATTTTCATCGTGCACTTTGCTCCTTATTAAATATGTATATTTTACTGGCAATGTGTGTGTGTGTATGGATGAGTATGTATCCAAATGCTGTGATTGCTTTGTACATTTTTCGTTTTTTTTGTTTGTGCTTTTTGATTCCAAACCAAAGTCACCCAACAAATGTCAAAAGTTACCAAAACCATTTCCCCAAGAGGGGGTCAGGACAGTAAACTACATTGACAAAAATATAATATTAAATATATGATATTCTAGAATCTAGATACTTGAATTTTGTTAATTTTCATCAGTGTACTTATTGAGTTGTCTTTGAGCCTTTTTTGGTAACTCGGACATCTGTTCTTCGAAAGCAACAAGTCCCTCGGCCAGCCAATTGAAATTGTGGCCTAAGCGATCTTGGAGAAGGGGAAAGGGACTATTTAAATACTACCAGTATATATATATTGATGTATTTTTTTTTTTTATTTGAAAATCAAATGCGAAGTGAAACAGTCGATGAAAGATTTTGATTGCTCATTTCGATTGGGTTTTAGGTTCTTGGACCTCGAGGGAGAAAATAGAGTGTAACCGAAAACAGCTTCCCCGGCGCCGGAATCTCAGATTAGATCTAAAGGCCGTAGACATGGACCCTGCGGACAAAAAACGGACCAACAACGTACAAAAGGACCGACAGATTCGAGAGCATTGTGTAAAAATTTGGTGAATCAAGTCGAAATGAACACGAATGGAATAAAATCGAAGCATTGCCATTTCATTTTCTTTGAAGTCCATAAAGCACGTGCCCCTCTCTCTTTCGCACACTCTCTATCCCCATCTCATTCACTAAACCTACTTGATTTCTCCCCATCTGAGAATTCACACAGCCTGTTTATTTCTTATTTTTTTCCTGTTTATATCGAGGCTGGGGATAAGCCGAGATCCATTCCAGAATGAAATGCAAAAGCCGCTTCAAAAAAATATATAGGAAATTTCACACATGTTTCGCATTCAATGCAAAATAAATACATATTATGGCTGGATTATTCTTCAACAAGTACAGATATACGTAAGAGTACTTGTATAACAGGTGAACGATTATGTTTTTAAATGTCAGCAATCATGATTATTGAATCGAAGTATATTCAAGGATAAATGGGGATTTTAAGGCCTACATATGACGTGGGTTTGGGATTCTAAAGGCTTTTACAAATTTTATAAAAATAATAAAGTAATAAAAATTAAGAAGCATATTCTTCTTAAATAAAATATATCCATTACTATTCATTCTCGTTACTCGCTACCATTCATACTCGTTGCTATTTCCATAACTATTCATACCCACTACTTTTCAATATACAAGTACAATATACTCTACTTCGTCAGTTCTTCATACCCATTACACCCCAAAGCAATATACCTTATTTACACTAGACTTACTGAGTATAACAAGTGGAACATAAACCGCACACCAGCCACCAGCAATTGTCGCTGATGTCCTGTCAATAAGTGAGACAAATCCTGGGTTTAATCTGTTGTTTCTTGTTTTTCTGTTGGTTTTTTGGTTTATCCAATTTTTTTGGCCTGGTCTTTATTACTTGGCCACTTGAATTGGTTGGTAATTGAGTGCATTATCGTTGATTGGGTGGGAGATTGAGAGTCCAAGACATTTTCGGGCAAAGGCAATAAAATAATGTTCGACATCGTATGTGCTTGTCCCGAAAAACAAAACAAAAGGACCCTAGGGAATCAAGGCAGGATAATGTTGTTTTCTGCACCCCAAAGAATAGAAAATACTCTATCATAAAATATAAAAATATTTGTTTGTTTAAATAACTTGCAAAAGTCTTAAAATTTTATTTAATTTTTGGGAATAATTTTTTTTTCAAAAACCTCACCAAGTTAGTGTATAATTTTTGTTGCTTTTCTGTTTTTGCATAAAAACATGCATGTTTTTTGGGGCTGCGGGTGGTGGGCTGTGGGTAGTGGGTGGATGTTGGAATTAACCGTCAAACAAGGCCACTTGATGGTCAACAAACAGCCACATCAAAACGACCTTCCACCGTTTCATGGCCAACACGAGAAAATGACCTTCTCTTATTAACGAAATCCCCATGCCAGTTGCCCAATCAGCTTGTGTTTTCGTTTATTTTTGCAAACAGGAGACTTCTACCAAAAATTTATTAAATTATGTAGAAGCTTTAAATAAATATAATATATATTTAAATTTTGAAGCATAATATGAATAATTTTTTGATGAAACTAAGTTCCAAGCAGTTTAAGGTGCAAGAAATCTTAAAAACTCAAAGACTTGTAATGCCATTTAACTTCCCAAGATAACTACTAATTTAACAACCTATTAACTAATTTAATAGTTAATTTTTAACTTAATTTTTTTGCTTTGTTTAAATTTAATCTCCTGAAGGTCTGTGCCATCCAGCACGTGGATGTCTGCATGTTCAACAATGGAAAGTTTAAGAACGTTGTTGCCGATTCGGACAACGTGACCCCACCCGTGGACAGGACAGTTGCGGCCGGTGCCTCCTTGAACACCACCGTGGCTCTCCGTCCGCAGCGGGGCCCCACCAAGAACTGGATCGCTTTGGAGGACACCTTGCAGCGCAGCACCGAGCCGGAGGAGATCACCGGCGCCATTGCCGCCTCGGCCATCCGTTCACCGCACTTTGTGACCCAGACAGCCCAGCTTCTGGCGGGTCATCCGCTGGCCAGTCCGGCCGTAACTTCGCCGCATCCCCATCATTATCATCCGGCGGGCAACCAAGCGCAGGGCAACTTCGGCTCTGCAGCAGTCGGAGCGGAGGAGAGGAACGTGTTCGCCATCTACGTGTCCTACTACGTCAAGGTCAAGCTGACCCTCAGCGGCATGGGCGGGGAGCTGTCTCTGAAGCTACCCTTCGTCCTGGTCCATGTGGACGAGACCCAGCGCCCCGGCTTCGCCTCCGCCACCTTGGGCGAGCTGCGCATGGAAATGGAGCGTCTGGCTCTGCAGGATGTCCCAGTCGGACGGCGCAACAACGGACGACGTACTGTCCAGGATATAGGCGATGGTCCTTCCACTAGTGCAGCTGCTGCTGCTGCCGCCGCCGCTGCCGCTGCTTCCGGTTCCGGTTCTGGGGGCTCCTCCGCGGGAACTTCTGCTGCCCAGACCCAGACTCACGGCCATCACCTGGACAGGATCGAGTCCGTGGACGATGAGTTCAATATACGGATTGCTGTGCCGCGCAAGAATTCCCATAAAAGGCGACTGCAGCGCAGCGAGACTCTGGCCCGGGACCTGGAGGAGAATGAGAATGAAAGCGGATGCGCAGCCGATCTGGAAAGGGAACAGGAGGACGAGGCTGAGGAGCACATTGTCCAGATCCACTTGGAGCAAATCTCGCCGGACCGGGAGCCTGAAGTGGAGCCAGAGAGAGAGCACCGGGCACCTGGCGCCGAGACAGGTGCCGTGCCAAAGTCCTCGAATGTGTGATTCTGATTGTGGTCCCAGATGTTTGCCAAGCGCAGAAGGAAGCCGTAGGTGGCAGCCACTGGGAGATTCACAAAAAACATAAAGGATATCTAGAAGAAAGGGAAATAAGGGAAGAAAGGCTGACGAGGCATCAAAAGAAAGGGCTCTGGAGAGTTACTAAGTTACTACAAGAAAAGTATTCGAAGGAAAATATAAGTATTTGGAAAAAAAAGGATCTTTAAAAAAAATATCAAAAATGTTAAAGTATCTAATGAATAGGAATCTGAAAGAAAATCATGTGAAGGTATATGAATCCGAAAGAAAAGATAACCTACAAGACAAGTATTTAAGAAAAAGAATTTAAAAATAGAATCTACAAGAAGAGAATTAAAAGCTAAAATCATTTGCAAAAAAAAACTAAAAAAAGAGTGAAATTTGGTAGATTACAAAAAAAAGAAATTAAATATCAACAAAGATTAAAAATAAAAAAAAGGAGATAATACAAAAAAAAAAGAAATCTATAAGATTGATAAATAAACTAATTAAAATCGAAGAACAAAAAAACTAAAACCAAAAATTCAGAAAAACCAAAAAAGGGTAACTACATAAGCCTGATTCCCAATCAATTTCCGTCTGTAGGATTAGAAAACGAAATTCAAGAAATTTCAAAACACACCAAAAACAATCCAAAGACATTTTTAAGAAACTCACAAAAAAAAACACAAATATTAAACAGAGTAAGAAAAGAAAACTATTTCATTTTAAAGTCCAAAAGAGGACAATGATTTCAAGAAACTAAAAGAAACATTATTAATGATATAACTTCTAAAAAACCAAAAGTTATCTTATTTTAAAAATTGTTTACTCCAAAACATGTCTTGTTTATAAAACTTTTAATGGCTTTGATGTTTTAAAACTAAAAAAACTTGATTTAAGCAAACGAAAAACAATATAAAATATTTATAAAAGTAAGTTATTAATAAATAAAAGAAACAAACACATTTTTAATAATAATAATTTATACTTTGTATTACTTCAAGTAAATTGAAATATAATTTCCTTAGTTTTAGTTAAAAAATTTCAAAATTGGAAGTTTAAATATAAGCAGTATAAGTAAGTAAGAAAAGTAGTATTTTATTTTCAAAAGCCAAGCACATTCTCTAGATAATTTTGAAAGTATTATTCCAAGTCTATTGAAGACAGAAACTATAAAACAGAGACTTGAAAAATAATAGTATTTTGTCATATTTTGCCAACTGACAATTCTTGAAATTTTGACTATAAATGATGGCACTTTTTGAAATAATTTCAGATCAATTAAGCTTCTTGATGAAATTTTTTTTGCTTTTTAAATTAAACATAAAAATAAACAACTATAGAATTAGGGAAAGTTTAGGGCGAGAAGTATGGAAAAGGTGTATAAATGGACTAAAAAGTTTCAGTTCCGGTTTCAGAGGGAAATACTGAGGGATATTAGTGGAGGGATTTAAACGAAAAGAAAAGTTGGCCAAAAGTTGAGATAAATGATTGATAGGCTTACTAGGACATTAGGAGACATTGGAATGGCAGGTACATTGATGTTTTTAGTTAGAGATATGGAAGCGCATGGGCTGCGGTATTCCCTAGGAATTAGACAATGAATTTGAGGTGAAATTTTTGCAATTTTTTTTTCTTGATCTTACGATATGAAAATGAGAATTGCGAAATGCAAAAAAAATAAAAACGACGACGAAAAAGATGACAAAAGTTGAGAAAGAATTGAAAATTGATTAAAAATTAAAAGATACACAAAATGAAAGAGTATCTATAGCCGTAGTTTATAGTTTTAAGATATATCATTTGATATTAGCCATGCAATGCATTGAAATTGATGATATTTTTTTGTGTGGAAGGTTGGTCGGGTTTGGGGCAATAAACAAAAAACGGCAAGAAAAATAATGAAACAAATTTTGGAAAAAATCGAATACGATTTGGAATGATACAAGTTTTTTAAATGTTGTTGGCAAAAGGCAACCAAATACCAAGAAAATATATTTATTTTAGAACTTAAGTCGATGTGTGTATGTCTGGTTCAAACGAAATCCATATACTCCATATACTTAAAACAAATAATGAATATTAAATGCCGAAAATGCGATTATCCTTTCAAATCGCTTATACAACTATATACAACACACATATATATATATTCATATATATATTTACTGAATATTGAATGTTTGATGTACTATATATATACAACATATATATATACATATATTTACAAGGAAACCCAAACCAAAATCCAAACAAAATATCTAACAGAGGCCAAAAATAATTAAACGGCAGTCACGCGGTACAAGTTCGAAACAAAATTGCGCGGTTTCAGAAACTGTCTAGAAAGTATTTACAAATTGCAGACAAAAACTTAATCGAAAAAGAGAAACACATACCCTTTTACACATATCTGTGGAGACTCTGGTTGCTTTAGATGTTGCGTAAAAAAGAAATAACCAATAATTACACATAATAATCCATATTTGCATAACCAATTGTCGAAAAAAAAACTAGATAATAATTAAGTGAAGAAAAAATAAACACTACACTGACAGAATTGCATTAGTTCTCAGCAGCAGTCGACTATAGTTTTTGAAATGGTCTTACAGATAAATATTTTCAAAAACAAAAAAATACATTTCCTACTTGAGACAGCCACCAGAAAAATAAGGAGAGTGAAACATAAATTCATCAATCGAATGGAAAAGATTTTTAAAGTTCAGCTTGAATACAAATACGAATATCTTGGTGTATCATGTATATGTGTCTAGACTCTAGAGTTTAAAAATAAAAACATAAAAACATGAATTTATGAACGTAGCCACACAAAATAATTCAACTATATAGATGATATTTTTGTGAGTGTACTGCTTTGATCACTTTATGCTACACCTAAAGAAAAAGAAAATCCAAACCAAAAAAAAAAAAGTAAATGTGATGCATTTCTATGACAAAACTATATACATATATATTACATAGCCTAACCTATATACAAGCATATATATGTTTATGTATGTATGTTTTACACGATATACTAAATATTAATATATATGATGTCTATTTAGGCTTAAGGATCCCCCGATCTGTATTTTTATTCAATTTATAATTAATTTTTACTTTAAGAGCTGGCCTCTCTAAGCAACCAAAAAAAGGAAACACATCCACATTTTTATTTGTGTTTAACTTTTAACGATTTTTTGGTTTGTCTATTTTTTTTTTGGGTTTTAACTTTTTTTTTGGTTTTCTTCCACATCTGAAATGTCCTTTCTGTCACCAAGGCGGCCATTACCAGCAGATAGCCAGCCCAGCATGCCCGTCACGTGATTGATGATGAATCCTGGCTGGCTGGCTGGGCTGGCTTATCCTGGCAAGTCCTGGCGGGGCGCCTTGGGGATGCCGAGGGACAGACAGAGACCGCATTAGGATACATCCGAAAACATAATGAAATAAATGTTAAACATCAAATATACCAAAACCAAAAAAAATTATTGTGCTTTTTGCTTGGCGGTATGGCGGGATTTAAGGACAACAAGCGAGATCCTTGGACGCCTGGGGAGCTGACAGCAGGAGTTCCGAATATTCGGTTGCCACGATTAAACGCCACTAGCCTGGCTAACATAACTTGGCTTTCTGGCTGTCAGCATGAAGCTGTTAGCCATCCACCCACTTATCCTTGGCGACTCACCCCCTAAGGACTACGGTCACGGCCCACCGCCAAAGAACTCTGTAACGCATAGAAGAGCTTTTCGGAGTAGTGAGCTTTTCTTAGGAATAAAGTTTTGTTTAAACTTGCAGCAGAGCTTTCTTGACTGGTTTTGTGAAGAGACTTAGCCAGAAACTTTAATAATATATCCCCAACACCATCCTCTGATAGCTTTTAGTGGAGGCTCAACTCTAGGCTCTTTTAGTGGAGGCTTTTTTCATCATTTTTATGAAGGAACCCCTTCGAAAAATTCGAAAAAATTGAAAATGGTTCAAAGACATTATTTTGAATGAGGAAACGCGGTAATTGAAGCCCTGATTACAGAATGGTACTTTATTTCCCGATCCGATTCGAAATGGCCGAGCTATGCACTCCGGAAGGGGCAAAATGCGATTTTCGCAAAATCCTCATTTTTATAAGGGAACCCCTTGGAAAAATTCGAAAAAATTGAAAATGGTTCAGACATTATTTTGAATGAGGAAACGCGGTAATTGAAGCCCTGATTACAGAATGGTACTTTATTTCCCGATCCGATTCGAAATGGCCGAGCTATGCACTCCGGAAGGGGCAAAAATGCGATTTTCGCAAAATCCTCATTTTTATGAGGGAACCCCTTGGAAAAATTCGAAAAAATTGAAAATGGTTCAGACATTATTTTGAATGAGGAAACGCGGTAATTGAAGCCCTGATTACAGAATGGTACTTTATTTCCCGATCCGATTCGAAATGGCCGAGCTATGCACTCCGGAAGGGGCAAAAATGCGATTTTCGCAAAATCCTCATTTTTATAAGGGAACCCCTTGGAAAAATTCGAAAAAATTGAAAATGGTTCAAAGACATTATTTTAAATGAGGAAACGCGGTAATTGAAGCCCTGATTACAGAATGGTACTTTATTTCCCGATCCGATTCGAAATGGCCGAGCTATGCACTCCGGAAGGGGCAAAAATGCGATATTTGCAAAATCCTCATTTTTATGAGGGAACCCCTTGGAAAAATTCGAAAAAATTGAAAATGGTTCAGACATTATTTTGAATGAGGAAACGCGGTAATTGAAGCCCTGATTACAGAATGGTACTTTATTTCCCGATCCGATTCGAAATGGCCGAGCTATGCACTCCGGAAGGGGCAAAAATGCGATTTTCGCAAAATCCTCATTTTTATAAGGGAACCCCTTGGAAAAATTCGAAAAAATTGAAAATGGTTCAAAGACATTATTTTAAATGAGGAAACGCGGTAATTGAAGCCCTGATTACAGAATGGTACTTTATTTCCCGATCCGATTCGAAATGGCCGAGCTATGCACTCCGGAAGGGGCAAAAATGCGATATTCGCAAAATCCTCATTTTTATGAGGGAACCCCTTGGAAAAATTCGAAAAAATTGAAAATGGTTCAAAGACATTATTTTGAATGAGGAAACGCGGTAATTGAAGCCCTGATTACAGAATGGTACTTTATTTCCCGATCCGATTCGAAATGGCCGAGCTATGCACTCCGGAAGGGGCAAAAATGCGATTTTCGCAAAATCCTCATTTTTATGAGGGAACCCCTTGGAAAAATTCGAAAAAATTGAAAATGGTTCAAAGACATTATTTTGAATGAGGAAACGAGGTAATTGAAGCCCTGATTACAGAATGGTACTTTATTTGTCGATCCAATTCGAAATGGCCGAGCTATGCACTCCGGAAGGGCCAAAAATGGGATATTCGCAAAATCGTAATTTTTATGAGGGAACCCCTTTTATTTATTTAAAAATTCTAAAAAATTTAATGATACAGAAGGATCAATCGATAAGCAAGGACCTTTACTAAAAAATAACAATTCCATATACAAAAATTGAAACAAAACACACGTGGCTTCGTTTACATAAAGTTTTAATTAATCTTTATTTGATCTTTAATAGTAAATATATTAATTTTTTATCCAATCTCTTTCTCTTGTTATCTTCCCGAATTTTCACACTCTCTCTCTTCATTCTCCCTGTTTCCCTTTCTGGTGTCTTCTGGCTTTTCCGCTGTAGTACAATACTTTGTATTTTCATTATTTATATTTATTTATTTATTTATTTATATGTATAGGTATATGTAAACTTCACATCCACAAATACACACAAAGCCTGATCCTTGTTTTATTTTATTTAGCTAGGATATAGGATATAGATTGGGGATTTTTAGGGAGGAGGACTTTTGGGGAACATAGTCGCTAGTTAGCCGAAAGAAGAACAAATCGGAAATCGGAGAGGGCGAAACACTGATTAGCTCCAAATGAGAGAGAAATGCGAAATCGTATCCGTTTTTTATATATATTTTTTTTGTTTTTATAATGCAATTAATTGACTGGATTGCATTCCGCGATATCCGATAACCGATATCGATGAGTTTTAATGCGGATTGCGGATCGTAAGCGGTTCGATCCTCTTGTTACATATAAAATTTATATTTTATGTATATATATATATATATTTTTGTTTTGTATATATATTTATGATCTGTATATATAAACCTTTTGTTAGTTTACATGATCGTTATCGTTTCTGGATTTCATTTTATTTTTTTTTTTTTGGAGGCAAAAAAGGCACTACAATCTAATAAGTTACGACGATGAAAAAATTAGTATATCCGTTCTGCTCTTATATATTTTATATATATATATATGATCGCGATCCTCTTATTCTTCATATCAGCTTCATCCAATCTACAATCTCTAACGAATAAATGTTTTAATTTTTTAAATAAAACCATGCTCAAAAAATTGGTGTTTCAAGTACTCGAAGTAATGCTTTCAAAAATTCGTTTTAAATTTTTTTTTTTAGATTTTCGTTTAGTTTGCTTAATTTTTGTGTGTGAGGCAAGTTAAAGTTAGGTTTTGGATTTCTTTTTTTAAGTTTAGGCATTGAAAACAAGCCTTAAATGTTAAATGCCCATTAACCAGTTAACAGTTTCATATTTTTTTTTTACTTTTTAGTTTTTAGTATTTTTTGTTTGCCACTTAAACTTAGTATAACGATGAAAAAAATATATATATGTAGCATATTTTCATATTTTAAGGATTAATAGTTTTTCTTTGTTAATTTATATGTTTTATACGATAGGGAATAAATTAATTAAACAAAATGACAAAAAGAACATACGTTTATATTTAATAATAAATAATAAATAAAATACACACACAGAGTTGAACTATTTTCCCCATTTTTTTTTTGTAAGCTTAATTTTTAGGTTTCATTTTTTGTATATTTTTAATTAATTATTTGCTATTTTAGCGTTTTCTGGTTTCTTTTGTTAGACAAATTTGCAATGCGCTCTTAGTTGATAGGAGGAGAACAAAAGATCCATTTCTAAGCTCGGCTCAGGGCCATAAATAAAAGTGTTAGCTAGCCAATGCGATTCGATCCACTGTACAGCTACACAGTGGGCCGAAAGCAATATGTTTTCTCTTCCTTTTAGGCTTTCTTGGCTTCGATTCTCGGTTGTAGGTTGTAGGTTTTAGGTTGTGTATATATATATAAGTATATCGTATATAGTTTACATTAATATGCCTATATATAAATTCATTGCTTAACATCGCTGTATCTCATTATTTAATTATTTATTTATTTGCAATTTTTCGCTGTTTTTTGGGCTGATTTTTTGTTTTTTTTTTTAGGAAGGTGGCAAAATGCAGGGGGTTGGGGGAAAAGTGCATGCGGTGTTGCTACTGCTGCTGCTACTGTGTTGCAGCCACACGTATATACAGATGCAAGTTTATCGAATTAGTTACAGAATCCACGGACCTCGTACTTTGATTCTAGTGGCGCTACCCTCCTGCCTACTCCCCATGCCGCGCCCTCTTTCCTCATCCTTTCTCTATTATTTTATACATATATACCTTTTTTTTCTTTTATATTTTATATATATATATATATATAATTATACGTGTGTATCTATATAAAAGTTTATTTGTTATGGTTTCCATTTTTATTATTTTTTTTTTGTTAATTTTTTATTTTTTGTTGATTTGTTGTTGTTGAACCTTTAAGGAAATGGAAGCGGATGGATATATTATTTCTTCTTGTTGGTCGCCAACATTGGGGCGCTACGCTGCGGTGTTGTGGGCCTCGATGAGTTCATGCCACTGTACAGATACTTGGCCTTCTTCTCGGATGGTTTCAGGATCTGCAGAGAAGTGTCTTTAGAGAGAGTCCTTAGGATTAATGGGTAATCCTTACCTGGAATGAGCACATGAGCGTGTCGTCCACGGTCATCATGCCGCCGGCATTATCGAATTCTCCGCAGTAATTGGGAGCCGAGAACAATGTCACCAACTGGCGACGGGCAAAGAACTCATAACCATCCTCCACAACCTAAAATTTTCAAACAAAAATTAATTTTAAAATTGAAAAAGATTAAAAATAGGTTACCTGATGCGCACGACAGATTAGATCGAGCTCATGTCGGTTCAAAAATTTGGAAACCACATCCACACCGAAGGTAAAGCTCACTCCACGATCATTCTCGCCCCAGCCCTGGACATCCTTGTCCGGATCGCTCCAAAGGAGATCGCATAGCAGCCCAGTGTCTGGGACATCTGTGGGACGCATCAGCCTTCTGATCTGCTCCATGCCCTGCAGATCGGGACTCAGGCCGCCATGGCAGCAGAAGATCTTCTCGTCAATGATCGCCGCCACTGGCAGACAGTTGAAACAGTCTGTGAAGGTTTTCCACAATTTAACATTATAGCGACGTTTGCACTCGTCATAGAAGCCTGAAATAATATTTAAAATTAATTAATAATTATAATTTTAAAAAATAGAAAAATATAGTTACCATAAATCCTATTAATACTGGCGCACTCATGGTTGCCGCGCAACAAGAAAAAGTTCTCCGGATATTTGATCTTGTAGGCCAACAGAAGGCAGATCGTCTCCAAAGACTGTTTGCCGCGATCAACATAATCGCCGAGGAATAGATAATTGGCGGCTGGCGGGAATCCGCCATACTCGAAGAGTCGCAACAGGTCTGTGTACTGGCCGTGGATGTCGCCACAGATGATCAGGGGCGCTTCCAACTCCAATAGAATCGGCTGTTGCAAGAATATCTCACGCGACTTGAGGCACAAGCCACGCACTTCCGCTTCGGTCATTTGCACCTGTTTCCCAGTTCGGCAGCTGCGCACTGTAAGGATTATGTAAGGATATTCATTAGTCATAAGCTATAGGGATATATGTTTTAATATTTTGTGGCAGGTTTACTAAGAGAGCTTAGCCTAGGAGAGCTTTTTAGCAAAAGACGAGCACGAGATCTGGACGAAACGATACTATCGACGGAGACACCAACAGGAGCAGGATATTATAGGATGATGGATGATATATGATCTTTGGAAGTGCCCAGATACTAAGTTTTAAGGAGAGTGATATTTTTTATAAAAATTTCCATTATTTTTTGTCTAAAACAGACTCCTAAGCATGTGTGCTTGTGTTGGGACCTTCAGGATAATTACAGGATGTCCCTGCTACGAAGACAGTATCAAAAGGCCTCACTGCCAACAAGTGGGCGTAACCTTGCAGACCTCCCCCTCTCAACACACACTTTCCTGCAATTAATTTTCAGAAAAAACCGGCAAGCTGAAGGGAAAAGATGACAGAGCTATCCCTTATCCTGGGAATACAACTAGGTCGCTGGCTCCACTCCCACTATGCCTCTCTTGTCTGTCGTGTGTCCAAAAAAAAAAAAAATTTAATTAAATTTGCATTCACCAGAAATGCTGGCCCAGCAATGGCTCCCAAAAAATACTGACATCCACACACACACCCAGAGAGAGACCAACACTGTCGTCCTTGCCCCGAAAGTTGTGTGCCAACTCTCTGGATTTGGGTCGAGAACGAGAAATAGCACCATGTGGCACCCAAGGGAAGTACTGTGTGTGTGTGTGGGTGGGGATAGTGTGGGCGTGGCATGTGGCAGATTGGGCAACAGCCATTCCCTGGCCGTCAGTCAGCATTGCAGTTTTTCCAAAAGCCGAAAAGCACGAAAAACCCAGCTGTGATTTTCCGTAATCGTTAATTAAAGCCATCGGAATGGCGAGGTCTCCAAAGTCCCGCTCAATAATTCAAAGCCCATAATAATTGCCTGGAATTAATGGCTTTATAAGCTCGACCCGCCTGGTGGCTCGAATCCAAATTGTCGATTGGCTTTCTAACTTGTTTTTAATTGGGATTTTTAAATACAGGATATTATTTATTTATCAAGGATGAGGAGGTATTTTTGTTAGTTTATTTTAAAATATTGTTCATTAAGAGTTTGTAAAGATAGTATAGTATTATACTAGTAATTCTCTACTTAAGAGACTTCTCTATATGGAAACCTTAAAGTTTAAGCTAAAATCTGCTTTAAAAAAAGTCGAATAATGGTTAGTTCTTGGCTATGATAAGGTGCCACCTATGAGAAGCGAGGAGGAGGGCGCTGTTTTTAATTAATTTTTATTATTACATTTATTCATTTATTAAATCGAATTAATTTTAATTTATATTCTTCCCGGTGATTAGGTGCAAAAAAATAAGAACTTAACCGAGAGGATTAACTTAATCTCCCCTTCAAAGCCCTTTTCAGATAGCGATAATTTCATAATAGTTTTATAATAGTTCGATTTCAGTTTCTAGAATGATAATTAAACACTCTAGCAAGAACTATAGATTAAAGTAACTAACTAAAAAAAACAAAGAAAATACAAGCCAATTAAATAATAAAACTTGCAAGTTTTAAGAAACAAAAAAACCAACCTTCCTCCACAAAAATCTCAAGTAAAATGTTATTTTATTTCCGTTCCAACCAACCAACCAACACCAACCCGGGGCAGTTAATCAAATGCAAAACGGGCCAAAGTTCGTTTAGGAACTTTTTCTTTTCTTTTTTTTTTCTCTAAGAGTCTTCCTGAAAACGGCAGTAGCATGTGCTTAGCATTAGCATAGTCGTCCTGGCCGGAGGTCCTTGGGTGCAAAGGATAAGGAAGTCGGATAACCAAGAGAGGAGGAGCGAGCGACACTAAATTATGCAGACCATGGGGTTCATGCACTCTCGGGAGAATGGAATCCGTTTAAATTATGCGCGACTTCTACCGATTTGGGGGATCGGATCGGATAGGTATCTGAGTTGGGAGTTTGTGCCACACGAATGCCTCAAAATCTGTTGCACGCCTCTGTTTCCGGGAAGCATTGCATAATTCATAGGGCGATAGGCGCTAGGCGCTAGACTCTGGGTCTCTAGGTGACCCAAAATTGTAGAATTATTTTCGGATTTCAAATGTGAGAGATTGAAGTAGGTGGGCGATGTTTTTTAACAACGGATTTTACTTTAATTACATTAAAAAATATTTAAAAAACAAGTAAAAGAATTAATTTTTACTTTGTGGGGCTACTGCTTAGCTGCCACCTATGAGAATCGTGGAGGAGGGCGCTGTTTTTTCATAAATTATTCTATTTTTTAAATAAATTCGATTATTGGTGAACTTTTAAAGAAAATCTATACCATTTTAAGGTCTTCTACATCCTTGAAAATCAATAATTATTTAGATATATTTTTTAAGATAATAAATAAAAGCATAAATGATGGAAGTCAAGATGGAACTGCGCCACTTTAAAGTCCACACTTTGTGACACACATGTGACACAAAGCTGCAGGGAAATGGACAGATATAGATGGCTATAAGCAGGCGGTGGGTGGTGCTCTTGTAGGGGGTGATGCTTTTTATTTCCCATTTTTTTTTTTTTTATGTAAATTTCCGCAATTCTCCACTCCAGACCAATGCGAAAAAGAACCGCGCTCGCTTGCCCGCAGACTGTCAGGCATTTGTCAGCAGAAAGAAGACATCCGGAAGAGCTGTTAGGGAGGAGATGTTACGGGGCAGAGGGGGGGCAGTGAATAAGGAAGTGGTTCAGTGGGTGGTTCCGTGCTGGGTGGGGTGGGGTGGGTTGGTTGGGTGGCAACATTATGCGTAAGCAAAAAAGACGCGCATGTTTGTTTGTCATGCATTTTTCATGAGGCAGTGCCGGGCAGGCCACCACTCGCCCACCCAGTAGTCCACCACCCACCAGCCTGCACCACCTAGGCCCCCACCCACCACTTCCATATAATACTTTATGCTGTCTGCTGTCACGTCTAACTGGTTCATCATGATTAACAATTCTTCAGCCAGCCCCCCACACACAAAAAGGATGTGCATGTATAAGCCCTTCCTTTCATTATAACCCACCCACAGACAGTGCCACAAATTAAAAACATGTGCCACTGTGTGTGTGGCATGGATGAATACCATCATCATGTGGTGGTGCAACAGTTGATGACTTACTTTGCCGCAGAGACGCTCATCAGGACAGACAGGATTAAAACGGAAGCGCATTGATCCATCAAGAAGGATATGTGATTACAATCAAGGCTTAAAGACTTCGTTTTTTAAAACATAAATTAAAAAAAAACTAACTAAATGACTAAAATATCATTTCAACTATCTCCCAACTTGTTATATACATCACTTGATGAAGTAAAAGGATCCACCATCCATCCCCACTGTAAAAGGATCTCCCCAGCCATTTTATGACCCGATTATCTCCCAGGGGTTAGGTAAACTGGAGCAGTTGCTGCTGTGCTTCTGTCAGAAGTTAAACATTCCTCCCCCCAGCCCTGTCCCGAAGCCCTCGCCTCGCTTTCTAACAAACTTTCGTGCTGGCCTGGCTTCCGCCAAAGGAAAAGGCACTCAAGGAAATGGTTTTTAGAAGAAAATAAAAGAAAGACAATTATCAGAGAGTGTCTATAGGAAAATGAATGGTATTAGGTATCATATAGTTTTTAAAAATAATCTTTAATCTCTTAAATTACTTAGTGTAAAGTTTTGTTTTTAAGAAAATGGTAGCTACCGGGTATCATATTTTTTTGAATATAAAAGTATATTGTTTTGAATTCCTAGAAGAAATATTAGGAGTATTATAGTCTTGAGGAAGTCATCCCTAGCCAGGTCCTTTAATGTTGAGAAAAGCAGGAAAAAGTACCGGATATCATACTGTCTTGAATATTAATGGAATTTCTTTGAGAAATATAAAAAATATAATAATCGGTAGGACATAATCTCTAATAATAGCCTTTCATAGCAAGAAAGGCAAGAAAAGTACCGGGTATCATACTTTAATCCATAAGAGAACCTAATCTAGTCAAATATTTCAAGAATTCTTCTTCAAGAAGTAGTCGCTGTATCCTTGAATCTCAAAAAAATGCAAGAAAAGTACCAGGTATCATGCTACCACTATAATAGTCTACAAAACAAGTCCTAACCCCTAACCTCTAGAAAAGTCTCTGAAAACCCTAGAAAAGTACCAGCTATCTTCTAGCAACTAAAAACCCTCATCCATTTCTCTCAGTGTCCAAGTGGCAAACACCAAAGTCTGAAGCAGGAAGCACTGAATGAAAACGTTAAGCCATTTAGATAGGAAAACTGCCGAGATGAAACTTTGTGGACACAGTCGGCGAATAAACAGGGCCAACACGGACACGGTTACAGGCCGGGCTAAAAACGAAGGAAAAACTTTACCAAAAGCAAATTAAGTGCAAAAAAAAAAAAAAGAAGACTTTTTTTTAAGGATAAAGGTTTCTGGGTTAAGCCAAAGTTGGCTTAGAGACAGCTCTTGGTGGACACCAAAAAAAAAAATGTTGTGCACTTTTCCATCACCGGCCAGCTTATGCAGGCATTATTAATTATATTCTAAGAGTCCTTAAAATCCTTAAAGACCTTAAAAGGATATCTTGTTAAAGGCTTACAGGTAGAGGTTGTGCTTCTGGTAGCGTAAAATTGCTTTTCATTTTCATTTCAGCCATCAGGCAACAAAATTGATTTCACACCGCAATTGGAAAGCCCTGCCACAAGGATTCCCGCAGGTCGTGCCACACCCCTCTGCCCCTATAATGTCCTATCACATATACATATATATATATATATCCCTTTTTGATTGCATCGAGTATTTGCCAAGGTAGGCTTAAAATTTAATTAACAGTTTGGTTGGCTCTAACGCTGTTTTTGATTAATGTTGGGAAAGGATATCAGGGCAAGGATACACAAAGGGAAGTCGGAAAAGTATGATTTATTTTTTATTAAAATATTAAAGTGTTTAAAGGGGTTTTTTAACTAAAGAAGGTCTAAAATAAG